AATAATAAGCTATTTATAAGTACAACAATTAAACCTATTCGTTGTTTTAAACGAATGCCGACGGCTTGAGTAAGCCTCTTACTCAGTGTATTATATCCGCATGTTACTTTTATACACCTCTGAAAATATATACTGAACCAAATTAAAAACTTCACAATCCTAAAATTTTAACATTTTGACCAGTTATCATGTGGGCCCTTATTGTTTATTTAAACAGTAATGGCCACGTATTGTCTTCAGATAACACCCGTTTTTGTGCAGGTGAATCGATCAAAATCATGTGCACAGCACTATAGTGGCAAAAGTGGTTTTTCACGTGCAACTGGTCACGTGGCCATAATACCGCACGTGTTTTCAGCCATACTTGTTAAAAAAACACAAAAAAACACAAGAAAACAAAAGTCCTTACGGCCATTTGTCATGCAACGCCTTTCAAATGTGCAACGTGAACGTGCCATCGGCATGTTGCAGACGGGAACGTCCGTAGCTGAAGTCGCAAGGACGATGGGTTGTAGTCGACGGACTGTTTATGATTTACAGACGCGTCTACAGCAAACAGGTACCACCGCTGATCGCCCTCGGCCGGGTCGACCATGTGTGAAGTCACATGCAGAGGATCGTCAGATTGTCTTACGTCACATCCGTAACCGATTTTTGATGGCTACATCAACCAGAAATGAACTGTTTAGGGGTAGACTGAGTGCGCAAACTGTTCGAAACCGTCTGAGAACTGCTCACCTTCAAGCACGACGGCCATACTGCGGGCCGATTCTGACTCAATTTCACAGACGTCAACGTCAATTGTGGGCACAGCAGACACTTACGATGGACTTAGAGGAATTGGAATCAAGTCGTCTTCAGTAATGAATCCCGATTTAATCTTCTATTTGCTGATGGTAGAGCGAGGGTGTGGAGGCGCGGTCATGAACGTTACGCCCAGTGTTGTGTACGGGAAGTTGACAGATTTCGAGGCGGAAGTGTCATGGTGTGGGGTGCTTTCTGTGGCAATGCACGTTCCAGGCTTCTTGTCATCCGTGGCAACCTCAACGCTGCTGCTTACCGCGACCAGGTACTGGCACCAGAACTTCTGCCTTTTATGGCATTCGTCACCACTCGCCCCTTTCCGTAACCTGCAAGAGGACTCATCCCCCTATCGATGAATGTTATGTGCAAAAATACGACAAACCAATCAGAATGCGCGTATGATTTCAATTTCTTCGTCAAAGAATCCCTCAGAAACAATTTTTGATTTAACATATGTCTTGCATCTAAAAATATACCCAAGACACAGTTAAATGTGGTCAATCATACTGTATAACTCCGCATGTCCCGATGTGCTTTAAATTGCATCTGAAATATATATAATATATGGGGAAATATATGGGAACCATTACTCAACGAGTTGACAATTGTTTTAGGTATGCCCGTTTGCGCTAAGACGGAACCCGGTCGCAAAAATGGCCATGAGAGGGGCACGAGTCGCTATTCGGCTTGTCCCGGAATAACACGAGTTGGTCACGAATGCCTTTTATGGCAGCACATGGACCCGGTTTGATCTTCCAACACGACAATGCTAGACCCCACAAAGCAATTTTGACAAGGAATTTCCTTCAGAATGCGGGAGTCAACGTCATGGACTGGCCGTCAAGGTCTCCCGACCTCAATCCCATCGAACACGTCGGGGATGCTCTTGGCAGAAGTCTGCGCACTCTCCAGAACAAATCCACAGAACTTGCAAGATCTTGGCACCATTTTGCAGCAACAATGGCGTAGTCTTCCCAATCATGTGTTCACAAGCTTCACAAGGTCCATGCGGAGGCGTTATGTGGCAGTTGTCAACACACGGTGGCCATACACGCTACTGAACTTGTGCGCCATCACATTCTCGTGCTTGGGACTTATGATTTAAATTATTGATGTTATTACCGAATACCGTAGGTGCTTGGAACAAATTATGGTTACCACCGTTAATTAAAATCCTTCTTTGGACATTAATGATTAAAAATTACCTTCTCTGATACATTTGTCCGTTGTATATCATATATGGGATTAATTTTTAAAAATGTGAAGTTTTTAATTTGACTCAGTATATAAATTTGTCAATGAAAGAGAATGACCAGCCTAGATATTCTGCCTTTCTTATTCCACTTGGCGTAAAAGGCAAATAGCTGTGGAAATTACATGAATGGACCACTAAAATCAGGTATGACACCAGGTGTTCGCAAAAAGGGTAAGCATGTTCTGTCCGACCGGTAGCACCCGCCATTCACACAATTTGTATAATCAAGTAAATATTTAATGCCTGACGAGAGGCGGTCGGGTAGCCTCGTGGTTAAAGCGTTCGCTCGTCACGCCGAAGACCGGGTTCGATTCCCGACATGGGTACAATGTGTGAAAGCCATTTCTGGTGTCCCCCGCCGTGATTTTGCTGGACTATTGCTATAAGCGGCGTAAAACAATACTCACTCACTATTGCGTGACGCAGCACAGCAGAACTCCCGCCGCGCGACGTCAGCCTGTAAACAAACCAGACAAACACACGAATAAAACAGCAGCATCAACATCAAAATCAACACTAACATGAAGACAAATCAAGTTGCGAAAAATAAGTTTAAGATTCTTCGGAGGTAAAGTTGTATGAGGGTATTTGGGAACAGAATGGGACTGGGTTTTGCCCTCTTGGTGGAATCTTCTGCCACTTCATCTAAGAACAGCATCCTCTTAATCATGATCAGCTTTCAAATTAGCACTCGTAACTTCTCTCTTTCGCCATTCATAAAAACACTACCAGCCGCTCCATGCACGTAGACTGGTAGACGGGAGTAGGAGCTTCCAACATACCTAGGTGTGGAGATCAGCGCCTTATATATGTACATATTAAAACTTTGGAAATGTGAAAATTAGATTTATTTTCATATGCCTATCAATGATATGAGGCATTCTGCACGAGCTATAGAGCAAATACTGGTATAGAGACGGTCATGTCACCCGGGGTGTAAGAATCAGACCCGTATCTCACCCCCTGCCGGGCTCATATGGCTTATCAATGCATTTTGAATGGGCTCTTGATATTAGCCAGGGTGGTAAGAAATTAGAGTTACGTCCCTTAGTGCGTCGTCTGCTCGGCATGCATTCCCGTGAATTTGTAACACGCCCCACACATTGTACTATAGGCCTTTGGCCTCATAAGTACCATGAATAAAGATTGATTGATTGCATTCCCGTGACAATGTCATCCAAACAAGGTGAAAATGTTATGAGATAAGAAGTTTGTATGTCAAACCTCAACCTCCATACCAGCTACCCGGCCTTCGGCCTCCCCGCTGATATGGGGGTCTCGAGATGATATGGGGGTCCCTAGATGAAAACCTATGATTGTGGGTTCGAGCCCCGATTATATTTCTAGGTTTGTCAGCACCATACCCGTGCTCGTGAATTTCACCGAAGTGGTAAACGTCTGAGACCTGCGACCCTAAAAGAGCCAACCAGTCTAGATCGTTCACAAGTTTTAATACGCTGTAAGCATACCAATATAACATTGTGAGCACAAGGGCACTAGTGTTTGTGAAGTGGCCCAGTTAAGTATGAAATGAATTAAGTTAACTTGATTGTTTTCCTGAAAGGAAATTATTATTAAATCAAGGATTAAGAGTTAAATTAACAATTAACGTTCTGCCGGTCTACCTGTAGCTAGACTTGCTAAATATCCACAAACAATAACAATAATCCCATCTATTTTTCTTGATTTCAACCTTGGAGCAAGGCTACTTGCTGTGTAACTACTGCATTAAATTCTGATAAAAAAGTCCTAGGTTGTCAAGTTTGCAGCTTGAACTTTGATGGACGGCCCCGAGAAAGTTCTAAGAAGTGGTTTAGCTAATTAATATTCTGTGTTTCATATCTTGATCGCGGGTGAGTTTGATATCAGCTACTTATAAAGCCTCTCTCTGCCACTGGCATAGTTGCTGTGATATAGGCGAGCGTTCATCAAGTGGTAGGTGTGTTGTGTCTGTACTATGACGGATATATACATTTATCAATGAAAGGCTACAGTAAATATGTTGACACCGATAATCTCCAACAACGCCTGAGTCAATTGCACGTTTTGTACAAATCTAATTGCGACCGACTGTTGAAGCAAAGACAAAATAGCAAACACTGTAAGCCTTTTTGAACGAAACATTTAAAGAACATCAGATAGAAAATAATAAGGGTATTCGTGCATGCGTGTATGTGTGTGTGCATGCGTACGTGCGTAGTGTTAGCCCACTGAGATACCATGAATACCCCACTCAGTTTTAGCTAGCCTCTTAATGCCGAGCGCCAGGCACGGTAACAACAAGTACCAAATCGGACAGACGTTCTACCCCTAGACCACGGAGGCGGTCGTTTACAGAAATGACGTGGAATGACATGATCCCATATGTAACAACTCGTTATAAGTTGATACGTTCATGCATCTCTTAAATACACCAGCTATTTTTTAATTCTGCAATACCGTTTCATCCATGTATCTTGACCAACTGCTTCCTTGACCGTTTTATATGGACGACGTTATTGCTCTTTTTGTTATTTTACGCCGCACTCTGCAATATTCCAGCTATATGACAGTAGTCTGTAAATAATCGAGTCTGAACCAGACAATCCAGTGATTGACATATTGTGCATCGATCCATGCAATTGGAATACGACGACATGCATCAACCGAGTTAGCGAGCCTGCCCCCCAAATTTCCCCCCTTGTATTGAGTTGTCTGCATATTAATGTTTATACCTAGCTGCATCCATTGACTAAAATAGTCTGGCACAACCTTCGGGTGCTTTCTGTACATCTTTGATCCTTACTGTATTTTTAATCTGTATTTTTGTGCCAAGAAGAATGTTGCCTGCATAAAATGTTTGGGCAAAAAGTGAGACTTAAATAAACAACTCTCCCGCTCTCTCCCATAAAACATTGTAAGATCTGGTATAAATCAAGCAAAGCTAGAGGAAGAAGAAGAGGAGGAGGAAGAATGTCTTTATTCATAAGCGCGACGAGCACACTGTGGAAGATGCACTTTACAAGATCAATTATTATTAATAACACATATCATTCAAGTCTTACAACCGAGCACAATAATGAACATGTTTATTTGAACTAGGAAACATAGTAGAACCCCGGTCATACGGAACCTCAACTGTCGGAAACCTTCGCGATTACCATCTGGTTGCAGTGGGGGCTCGATGACCTGTATGACCTCCGCCTGAACAAGGCGGCCATCATTGAGTTCGTGAGTACGTCTCTTTTAGCAATTGTCCTGCCACACCTCGGTTGGAACGGAACCACAATAAATGGTTTGTCTTCGAACATTGCCGTTGTACAAAGCGATCTTAGCGCTAAGATGATCGTTACTCCCATACCTTAACATAGACTTATAGCAGTCGTACCGCTTTGGTCGTTCGTTTTGTACAACGGCACCCTGGTGGAGAGCGAAGTGTTCCAAGTGACAGTTTCCGGAAGATCAGGGTTCCACTTTACAGGGTAATCTTACAAATGCTGTATCTTCACATTATTTAAAAACAATTAAGGCATTTATTAAAAGTATCCAGAAAGCAACAACACGTCAATATCCCAAACTGACTAATCTATGTCTAATGAACGTAATGATTACAGAGCCTCTCTGGATATGAATAAACATTCACTGGTATATCACACCGAATTTCTCGTATATCAACAAGCATGCGTACATTTCCTCCTCCTTGTTTTGTTTTCAACGACTGAAACAATGTAAAATCGTAAATAAAGTAGACTCTGTCAAAAATACAAAACTGTAACACATTGTCCGCGTCATGTATGAATGTGTCGATCTGAGCATGCGTGAACACAACAGACAGTTCCGCCATACTGGACACAGAATGTAAAGATGGGTAGCTTCATGGAGGACTAAACCAATAAAACACCTTTCACTGCGTTTGTAAAAGGATATAGACCCGGTTTATCCACTCTTGTCAAACTTGTGAAGCGGTTTTGCGGATGTTACTTTGAACAGTATTTCAGTCACATCTATAAAGTCGTAACGACGTCACAAGATGTAGACAAGGTACAAGTAGTCAAAGGCGCAGCGATTTGTTACAAGTTGCGCCCCCTTACTCCCAGGATCTGCTAATCATGGGTTCGAATCTCATGTTCACTCCGATTGTGATCTTATCAGCGCTATAGGATTTGAACGAAGTGAGAAATGCGTTAACAATTTGCTTACTACTGAACTGCACCCCATCCCCCATCCACCCCTACAACTTTCTGACATCCTGTGACATAACTGAAATACTGTTTAAAGCGGCGTCAAACACACCCTGGTAGCGTCTCGTCCATTTGAATGGACACTCTTTAACCATATGAAAAGAAGTACAAGGTGCCGCATGGCATACATTAATGATGTATAACTGACAATAACGCTCGTGTCTGTTTTCTGGTTGGCTGCAATACAAGTCAAACGCTTAAAATATTATTGTTCATCCTGAGAAAGAGATATCCAGCGTTTGCCAGATATGATTTAACAACCTTAATTAGACCTTACACCTGCTTCATGTGAAAATGGACTTTCTTTCTGGCCCCAGGCAAAAAGGAATAAGAGACCCTTACAATCGACTGGGTATCATTGTAATCGCTCCATCCCTCATTCTAACCTCATTGTTGACAGCAAGGTACATCCTACATACAGGACACGGTGCAGTATGCGCTGTTAATTATATACAACCGATCCTCTTTAATCCAGACTTTGAAATGATATCTGAAATGTAATGCGTCTGAATTAAAGAGGTTCTGTTCTACACAATTTTACAAACACAGCAATAGGCATATGTGACCAACCATGAGTTAGTAAGTTAAAATTTAACGTCGCATCGGTATTATTGCAGCCATACAGCGACGAGAACAAGTTGATATACAGGTCAACCATGAGAAAAGGACCTTATGGATCAAAATCACATTTTAACTTTTCATTGTTTTTCAAAACAAACTACAGCATCTTCGGAACACAAAAGTGCAATGCACAAGCTTCTATTCGTATTTATTACAGATAAAACATGACATCACACATGGCGATCATCACGGAAGTAAGTTGACGTCAAAGGTCTTCATGACGTCATAGCACAATTGTATCCTAGTACCCATAAGGTCCCAATTTTCCTGGAGTTTCATATATAAGGTTCTGCTTGTTCAAAAGGATCCAAGTATTACGATGCAGTGCACGTACAAGCTGTGTAAATTGTTCTTTAACATTTAACACATGATTTGCAACGAACGAAAAAAAGTGGTGATTTTCTAATCTGTGCAAAGTATGATAATAACTAAGGCACAAATACACTTGAGTGTATATTTAGCAAGCACATGCTCTGTATTCTCGATTCTCCTGCCGACTGTTCCAATATTTTCCAACAGACGCGTTTGACGCCGTAATCTGTCAGACTACAATGTCTTGCATATTGCGAACACTCTCTAAACCTACAAGCATTAGCTTGGGCGTTATCTACTCTCGTTTGTGTCTACTGTCGGGATTGAAAAAAACACTCTTCATCACTCTTACGGGCATCACCCATTCCAATAAATTTCAGCTTTGATGTGGCATAATCAGCGTCTATGCAAGTTCATATGCATACAATTAGTATTTTCTTAAAGAAACACAACATATCACAAACGTTGATAATGCGTAGGACTTTCGTCAGTACCTGTAGAACGTACTGCAGACATATATGGATTCTCCATACTAAATAAACGTGAAAGTTTATAATTTAATGACACCAGGTCGTTGTGGAATCTTTTCTCAGCCATATGTAGCGTCTTCCTCCACCAAGAACCTTTTATCAATGGTTATTTTGGCACAGCTATCCAAAAGCCGAGCAGATGGAATTCTGTCGGACATGTTGAGAGAGGTCCTGTTCCTGATGTCAAACTTCATCATAGCGTCGCACAGGGGTCTGTTCGGGCCGTCATTAACCTCTTGACCTCCAAGTAGCACAAGCGACCCCTGGCGATGAATTAACCCGAAGTGCACACGTTCAAACGTCTTGATGACGCCTATGTTCTCGATGACGTTGTCGTCAAAGAAACGTATAACTTTCCCATCAAACAGAACCACATAGGCAATCCCATCACTCACCACAGCTCGGGACAATTTACACGCGATAGGGAGCTGAGCAACAATGGAGGTCTTTCTTGTCCGCGTGTCATAGCACTGAATACTCGCCGTATCCGACTTGTCGTTTTTCTCACCACCGAAGAGGAAGATCTTCTCCCCTAACACGGCAGCCGACACAGAGCTGACAGCTATCTGAAGCTCGCCAGCATCTTCCCAGTCCCCGCTGTCGATGTCGTACTCCTCCACCGTCTTCTGAACCCGCTCCCCCTCCCCAAGTTCACTGTTGTAGCCCCCCAGAACGTACAGCTTGTTCCCCACAGACACCATAGCGTGGCGCCTCCGTCCTCGATGGAGCTTGGCAGACAGGTGGGTCCACTTGTTTTTCTTGGAATGGTACCTCAGCAGGGCGCTCTGCCAGAGTCCTCCTCCTGTGACGAAGATGTCATTGTCGAAGACGCAGGATGCAAACTCAATACCAGGGTCGAATGGGAGAACTGCAAGATGGTACCACAGCCGGGAGCTGAAGCTGTAGGCCAGAACATTCGTTGAGCGGACGTAAGGCGGTCTGGGCGTCTCGCCCCCTGACAGCACCACCAGGACATCCTCCATGTCAGAGGGGTTCCGGTGGCACATGATAGACGAGCTGTAGTCATGGCGACGGGCAGGCAACAAGTGAAAGTTCTTGGCGCTATCTATGGCCTGGATGCATTGTTCGTTTCTCCGCACAAAGTCTGATTTCTTGATGTTGATAAGATACTCTGGCTGGGCTAGAGGCAGACGGAGGTATGTGAAAATGTCCCCGACAAAGTTTGCCCTCTTGGCCTCGTCATGTTCCACCCAGCGGAGCACGGCGTCACACAAAAACTCCTCACTTGGGCACTTCAGGTCATCGTCCTTCACAAGAGCCATAATCTCCTCTGGCTCCAGATTCTGGATTTCTTCATTAGATGTAAGCTCCTCGAAATGTTCAAGAATGAATGCCCAGGCAGCCTTCCGTAAGTTTTTACAATCGTGCGCGCTTGCTACTCTCCACCGTAACAAACAATTGTCAACTGAGATCTTCTTGCTGAGGAAATCCTCACATCGTTTCTGTAGTATCTCCATTTGAAGGATTGATGCGGCCTTCAACATATTTTCCGCGTTGCTTTCCTGTACGACGTCGTAGCCTTGGTAGATGTACATCAGGATGGAGGAGAAGACGTCCGACTCGATGCCCTCCATTTTGACAACACCGGAAACACTTTCGCGCATGCCCGAGGAAAACATGGCGTCGAAATAAGGCGACATGGCAATCAGAATGGCCTTGTGGCATTTGAAGGTCTTTTTGTCGATGATGACCTCGACGTCCGCGTGTTTCTCGTCCGAAAGCAGTCGACCTAGCCCCAGAGTGAGCGTGTCGAAATACTGCTGTCGCCATGACGTGGCTGCATGCATCACGAGAAGGCTTGTTACGTCATCCACTGTGACGTCATGTCATGAGTCATGGCCTTTTAGCACCTAGGTCCCCTGTAATGATAAAATTACAGATACTGAATTGTGAATACTGGGCAATAAAAAGGCTTTAACGCCTTATACTTCATTCGAGTGATAACGATAAAACATGTATTAGCTGCCTACTGAGTCAGAGAGTCGTGTTTTACGCGGCTCTGAGCAATATCCTAGCAAACGTAGGTCCGGGGATATCAGCAATGTGTCTTATACACTGTATCAATGTAGGCAATCCGACCCGGATTTTCTGATCCAGACTCGATTATTTACAGACCGCCGTCATATAGCTGGAATATTGCTGAGTGCGGCGTTAAGCAACAAACAAACAAAGGCAAAGACGTTGACCCATCACTGTACACGGACACCTTCAAGCCAGCGGCTGGCATATCTACAACGTGGTATACGAATACACACGCTCTATGAGCTGGACGAGTCTCCTAGCGACGCTGAAGCAACACACCCACTTGTACTTCCTTGTGTGACAAGTTACTTACGAAACGAAGCAGTCAGACCAACTAAACTCGGTTCAGTGCGTACACAGATTCAACAGAACACGACAGGTCACTCATTACAGACAACTTCATGTTCTGTTTATTGCAACAACTGTTTGGAGTAATCGAATCGAGATATCTTAGGTACTATATACAGTTTGTTTGTTTGTTTGTTTACTTGTTGTTTTACGCCGCAATCAGCAATATTCCCGCTATATGACGTCTGTAAATAATCGAGTCTGGAGCAGACAATCCAGTGATTGACATCGTGAGGATCGATCCACGCAATAGGGATCGATGACATGCATCAACCAAATCAGCGAGCCTGACCACCCAATCCCGTTAGTCGCCTCTTACGACAAACATAGTCGCCTTTTACGGCAAACATGGGTTGCTGAAGACTTATTCTACCCCGGATCTTCACGGGTCACTATATATCGAGTCACCAGATATTGACACAAGACAATCCATACTGGTAGGATGAAGTGTGGTAAATACAACCCCGAGCAGGAAATGATACAGAACTGACATACATGATCCAATGTGTCGGCGTCTGTCTACTACACACACTGCTAACACTGGCGACTGAGGATGTCAGTGACTTGACAAAACTGACAATGTCACGAATGGCGCAGCTAGATGTTCTATCTTATGTGTTGTCTCCCAATATCCTAGGGACAGTCGGAGGTACAAGAAAGGTACGGAGGAATTAGTCGTATCGGAAGTACTCAGATGAATCCCTTGAAATAGGCCAAATTACTAAGATGATATATAAGGGTCTCAAACGTTCTGCCACACTTCGGTCAGCTTAGATGTATGTGCGTGGACTTCCTTTTCGGTTACTCTTTCAAACTCTTCCCCCAAAGACATTTCTTTGTTCGTATAGAGATTACTGCCCAGGGCGATGACGATGACGTGCATCAACCAAGTCAGAGAGCCTGACCACTCGATCCCGTTAGTTGCCTCTTACGCCAAGCACAGTCGCCTTTTGCGGCAAGCGTGGGTTGTTGAAGACCTATTATACCCGGATCTTCACGGGTCCTGTTTTATGTATTGACATAAAAGCGGTACTTGAAGCCTGTAACACTAGCGCATACTGCTGATCACCATCAAACAGGCTAGCGACATTATCATATCACTTAAAGTACAGCATGGACCCTGCAATGAATACGCGCACCCTCAGTCTTCAGCCACTAGGCACACGTGACGTAATTCAACACCGCCAGGGTGAAGTCCACACCGAATTGCGAGGAAACATCGACGAGCTTGTCGTGGGTAATTCTCCTTTGTGTCGGAATATGTCAAGCCTTTCAAATTGCCCGATTGAACACGGACTTGAAACTCTGTACCAATGGAAGAGTTGGGTCCATGCGTGCTCGCGTGTGGAGATGTAAAGCTATTGTCCAGTTGTATCATTTAAAGACTGTGTAATATATCCCCATAATGAGCAATACAAGATTCCCTTTGTTCGTTTTATCACACGTTTAATACGTTTCACAAGGAACATTTTCCTGTAAGAAACCAATTCTCTTTATTCTTTATATCACATGTTACATGTTCAGTACGTTACACATGAGACAGTAAGAAAATTTCCCTTCGTTTGTTATACTGAATGGTCAATACGTTACACATCTTCCTGTTAGCAAACAATACTCTTTGTATTTTTTATCACATATCACATGTTTAATACGCTACAAAAGGGACATCTTCCTGTGTATTATTTTGGTGTAGAGTTTGTGTTACATTTGCCCATATCAAGTAAGGTCAAAGTCCTTCGCGAAAGGACTTGTGACGGGTTACACAAACTTCTGGATATCCTTCTTTCCTCTGTATGAACCGTTTGACTGACTGACTAACTCTGGATAAGGTTTGGACACATGCTTAACCAGAGTGCTGCTTGGATGGGGTTGCCCGCCAAGGCACGCTAAATACAATGTATGTTCCTAATACAGGATCTTTACCATCCCAAAACACACTCGCGTGACAACCTCAATGATCGTGAGCACTACAGTATCTGGGACGGACGACGGTCAATCGACCATGACACAAGTTTACTGACCCTTTGAAATAAATGCGACAAAACCTAACCACAAGCATGGGGAACATCGATATTATATTTATTTATAAATGCACTGTAAAGTACGACACACACACACACACACACACACACACACACACACACACACACACACACATATATACCTATAATAGCGGATCAAGTTCTCATTTCGAGAGCTGAAAGTATGCATAGCAACCCACCTAATTGAACTTCCCGTTCCCCAGACATGCACAGTCAGGTGTAGAAAGCGTGCCTATATATCACGCTACCAGCTCATTCAACAGACATCACCCCGCTTTACGATATCGAAGACCCTTACACTATTCAGGCAGAACTGCACTGTGCACAACACGAAGTAAACCAACACTTTGTGAGGTACTGGGCGCTACCCGACACGCCCGTAACCATATCATGAGGTCACAATGACCTCGGTGTGTTTTCTACCTGCTGACCTCGATCTATTCGACGTTGAGACTGCATTATCCGAGTGGCTTGACTATGACAAGGAGTTAGTTGGACGCCGCCTTAACGGCTGGATCGCGCGAGTGAGTTTACCTGAAGTATTTCAGTTTTTGTGGGACGAAAGCCGGAAGTGACACAGATTTTAGACGTTTACCATTTGAAAGAAACCTATGAGTATGTGTATTATTCTACAAACCAAGCATCGTAGTCAGGGCGAAGGTCGGATTCGAGCCCACGACCATCGGAACCCGGTTCTCCTAAGGGACGCAACTCTGAACGGCGAATGGAGTAGCCTAGGGGATAAAGTGTTCGCTCGTCACGCCTTAGGCCAGAGTTCGATTCCCTACATGGGTACAATGTGTGAAACCCATTTCTGGTGTCCCCCGCAGTGATATTGTTGGAATATTGCTGAAAGCGGCGCAGAACCATACTCACTCACGAGCTGGTCGAGTATACATATCAACGAAAAAGTCAACGTCCCAAGACCAAACATAACTGCCGAGCAGTATCTATCTGTGGGCTTTTAAAGTTCATCTGATTTCATCTCATTTTCGTCTTTCTATGTTTGTTCGTTTTGAAAGTGCCAGTTTCATTTACTGTTATCTGAAGGAATATTTTTAGGTGACAAAATGGGTAACGTAACATTCACAACACAAGGTGACTCAAACGTTTATACTACATCGCGAACTTTTGGTGAATACGATAACCACAAACACGATTACATCTTAGATTAGTCCTAAACATAATGTGAACATTTCCTTTCAAAAGTCAAACCTCGAACAATAGTTATTATAATAGTTGCAATGTGAACATCTTATACACTTCCTCATGAAAAGGACACATAGTAGGGTGTACTCTTTTCCTTATGACTTCAATACAAATTAAACCGATCATAAATTAACACCAACTAACGCTTGCTACACTTGCTTTTCGCTTCCCTAATAAATCTCATTAACGACAGCTATTGCCTGAGTGCCATGAGAAGTGCATGTATCAATTAGCCTGTGAAGCATTAATCAATGTCTAAAATGTAATTAACTGCATAATTCGTCAAGGGGTCATTGCACAGACAAGCGATGGTGACTTTAAATCAAAGAGAAGCGGGGATGCACACACGCAGACAGTCACCTCTGTCTTATCGGACATCACATCAAGACGTGTCCGCAAATGACAAGTTGCAGATCAGTTGCAGTTTCGGCAGATAACCAAGAATGACTATTCTCTGGCATTGCCGTTTTAACATATTTTTTTTTTCATTCTCGTTGTTTGTTTGTTGTTTAACGTCATACTCAGCGATATTCCAGCTATATGACGGAGGTCTGTAAATAATCGAGTCTGAACAAGACAATCCAGTGATTGACATTATGAGCATCGATCCACGCAATTGGAATACGGTGACGTGCATCCACCAAGTCAGCGAGCCTGACCACCCGATCCCGTTAGTCGCCTCTTACGATTAGCATAGTCGCCTTTTACGGCAAGCATGGGTTGCTGAAGACCTTTTCTAACCCGGATCTTCACGGGTGTGTTTTCGTTGAGTGCCATTGCAGTTGATATATACTACAAGTATATTAAACAAGGAATCTTGTGTCTAGCGAAACGGCGTGTGTTACTTTTTTCTAATATCAAATACATACATATAAAAAGAAATTGATTTCATTTTTAACTACAATTAATCACTGAAATACCAGTGTTAAATAAGACAGTCCTCAGGTCTACATGGCCACACATCACAAAATCAGTATGAAGATAACACAGTCCTCAGACCGACACGTCCACACATGACAACACCAGTATGAAGATAACACAATCCTCAGACCGACACGTCCACACATGACAACACCAGTATGAAGATAACACAGTCCTCAGACCGACACGTCCACACACGGCAACACCAGTATGAAGATAACACAGTCCTCAGACCGACACGTCCACACACGACAACACCAGTATGAAGATAACACAGTCCTCAGACCGACACGTCCACACATGACAACACCAGTATGAAGATAACACAGTCCTCAGACCGACACGTCCACACACGGCAACACCAGTATGAAGATAACACAGTCCTCAGACCGACACGTCCACACATGACAACACCAGCATGAAGAAAACACAGTCCTCAGACCGACACGTCCACACATGACAACACCAGTATGAAGATAACACAGTCCTCAGACCGACACGTCCACACATGACAACACCAGTATGAAGATAACACAGTCCTCAGACCGACACGTCCACACATGACAACACCAGTATGAAGATAACACAGTCCACACGTCCACACATGACAACACCAGTATGAAGATAACATGGTCCTCAGACCGACACGTCCACACATGACAACACCAGCATGAAGATAACACAGTCCTCAGACCGACACGTCCACACATGACATCATCAGTATGAAGATAACACAGTCCTCAGACCGACACGTCCACACATGACAACACCAGTATGAAGAAAACACAGTCCTCAGACCGACACGTCCACACATGACAACACCAGTATGAAGATAACACAGTCCACACGTCCACACATGACAACACCAGTATGAAGATAACATGGTCCTCAGACCGACACGTCCACACATGACAACACCAGTATGAAGATAACACAGTCCTCAGACCGACACGTCCACACATGACAACACCAGTATGAAGAAAACACAGTCCTCAGACCGACACGTCCACACATAACAACACCAGTATGAAGATAACACAGTCCTCAGACCGACACGTCCACACATAACAACACCAGTATGAAGATAACACAGTCCTCAGACCGACACGTCCACACATGACAACACCAGTATGAAGATAACACAGTCCTCAGACCGACACGTCCACACATGACAACACCAGCATGAAGATAACACAGTCCTCAGACCGACACGTCCACACATGACAACACCAGTATGAAGATAACACAGTCCTCAGACCGACACGTCCACACATGACAACACCAGCATGAAGATAACACAGTCCTCAGACCGACACGTCCACACATGACAACACCAGCATGAAGATAACACAGTCCTCAGACCGACACGTCCACACATAACAACACCAGTATGAAGATAACACAGTCCTCAGACCGACACGTCCACACATAACAACACCAGTATGAAGATAACACAGTCCTCAGACCGACACGTCCACACATGACAACACCAGTATGAAGATAACCCAGTCCTCAGACCGACACGTCCACACATGACAACACCAGTATGAAGATAACACAGTCCTCAGACCGACACGTCCACACATAACAACACCAGTATGAAGATAACACAGTCCTCAGACCGACACGTCCACACATCACAATACTAGTATTAACATAACATGGTCCTAAGGACGTCTGTGTTGTTGTGCATGCGAATGTGCAGCTCGCGGCAACACATAGCTTCGTATTCAGTATTCTGGTACAATGGTTTCAGTTGTCTCACTACAGTGATACAGTGACTGATACATATTGAGTGTAGTTGTCGACACGGGCCGGCGGGGTAGTCTAGTGCCGAAAGTGTCGTTCCTCTCAGGTCCAGTTAGTCTGTCTTACAGACCCTGATACAAATATATATCAAATACAGCCCATGCAAGTCTATAATGTTTGGCAAGTCTAGATCACTGCAGTATCAGAAAATCTGAAAATGAAGAGAGTCACTGGGCTCCTTTTTATTATATTTGTTTTAAGATAACTGAACAACTGTTTTTTTATGTACGATATGTTCATTTCAGAGACTAGATGTTAGTCTAAGGTCCAGTGTGATGACCTACATAGGTACAACGTGTGGAGCCGATCCTGATGCCATCCCCGCTTGATACAGCAAGAATAATGCTTAAGTCATTATAAGAAAGACAATTTGTGGATGTCAACTTCTTTATTATGAGGAACACAACGTTTCGGAGTATATACTTACTCCTTTATCAGGTAAATGATACATTCAAGAGATGAAGGAGTAAGCATATACTCCGAAACCTTGTGTTCCTCATAATAAAGAAGTTGACAGCCACAAATTCTTTTCCTTATGTTTATCACTTCTAAATGCCTTTCAAAGACTGAAGTCATCATACTTCACTAAATATAGAACATAATATCGGTATTCGCATATAATAATACGGAATTGATTATAAAATGAAAACTACTGAAAGAAAGTTGTCCGAAGTTGCAAGCATTTTCACATACTTCCGGGGGCTGATTGCTGATGATTTACATATCCTGTGATATTATCATAGGCGCAGTATTCATCTGGCGCGGAAACACATGAACCGTGCGTTTTAATGGCGTGACTACGGAATATGTTAGGTGCTGTCTATTGAATAACTTTGACATCAATATTCTAATATAATGTAACATTCAACATGGTGGCGAACTTGAAAACATTCATTGCCGTTTATCTGCATTGTGTAGTGATTGTTAGCAGACTGGGGAATACATGATTCAATCATGGGTCGGTGCACCGTGATAAATAATACTCTCCACTCTGTATCGATATTCAGACGACGAATAACACAATGTTTGTCCACGTATCATGATCTACAAAATGACACTGGTCAACCACTGGGTTTGTCAGTACGATGTACATGATTCAGTGTGACTATGTGGGTGTGTTGTGGCACAGCAGCATTTGGGTAGCCGAGTTGATCATGCCGGAGACTGGGTTCGATTCCCCACATGGGTACAACGCATGAAAACTGTTTAGCGGGCCCCGTCGTGGTACTGTAAGAATAGTGCTTTCCATTCAGTTTATTCCTATATAACTGTAAGGCTACAGGCCCATAGTACAGAATACATGACAATGTGGAAGCGGTTAGACATGTTACAAGGATTCATTTCTTAATAACATGGCATGGTATATACATAGAGATAGAGTTCGTATAGCCGTTTTGCTCACATGTGATATTAGGGAAATAAACTTGTATTTATTATTTGTATTCCTTAAATTATCATATTTACAACATACAAGTAAAAAAGCGCAATTCATCTTCGACCTCACTTAAAGAACATTGTCTGAATAATCTTAAACATTTTGGTATTTCTTTAGCCTGCCAACTTCAACCATTAACTTGTGTGAGCTGCATCTAAATTGTGTTATTAATATTCTGCATTTACTTAAAATTTTCTGAGCATATTTGCATTTTAAAATATCTATAATATTCGCATTTGCTAGAAACATTTACAGTAGATCTCCATGTGTGAAAGTACATGTCAAAAAGCGTCTGCCTTATTTTCGACATGAACATGGCATGATTCTCTAAGAAACATTGGTTGTCCCAAATGTAACCATACCAACATTTATACAGTAGACATTTAACATTGTATGCCCAATTTTGATCTCCATATTTTCATACAATAGTATAGTGCAGAAACGGCGACAAACATAACTCACTCACTCTTAAAATGGCATAGTTTTGGAAAAAACGTGTCTGTTACTTTCGCTATTATATCGAAACGAGAAGACACTGTCACCGGTTTCGCCTTTGGGAAACTTAATAAAATGTTTACGAAATTTCAAAATAAGGTCCGATGTGTATAATGACATATTTATCATTGTACTATTCAAAACTGTTTCCTATACCATCCAATCACGTGCAGGTGAACTAGTAATTGTGCTTTTCACAACTGAAGTTATTTCGGAAAGGTTGAAAATAAAATTGCAGAGTATATTTCCGAAACTCTAACCTATAGGATTTCCCTAACGAGTACGTCCTTGACGTGTAGCCAAGTTTCCAGAAGAAATATTAAATTGTTCATGGGTAATATTCCGGAAATATAGCATGACAGAGGGACGGAACCCGTTTCTGTTTCCCGTTACACTTCATTCTGGCGGGTGTCAACCAGAATACATCCACGTACGGCCAACTAACATCTCGTGATAAGCATTGTATGGCGATCCGTATCACGATACATATCGTACCGTGACAGTACTTTATTTCATCCATATTCCAAACAAGACGTAATCTTCTATGCGTATTATGCCTTACAGAGAATTGATCAACTATTTTTCCGCTACAGATAATGTAATCTAAGGTTACCACCACCAGCAAATTGAAAATTCGTAACCGAATTCATGAGCAGGCTTGTACAGCTAAAGGAACATGAAACGCTTGTACCAGTCACACTTGGGAATGTTTCCTCGTCCAAATCATTCTGCTCAGGCACACAGCGCCGCTTCGTGCTATTTTGTGTTATTTGTAATTTTGTGTTGCGTGTACTGTGTTGAAAAGTGTTGCGTGTACTGTGTTGTGAAGTGTTGTTTTGCATGTACTGTGTTGTGAAGTGTTGCGTGTACTGTGTTGTGAAGTGTTGCGTGTACTGTGTTGTGAAGTGTTGCGTGTACTGTGTTGAAAAGTGTTGCGTGTACAGCGTTGTGAAGTGTTGTTTCGCGTGTACTGTGTTGAAAAGTGTTGCGTGTACTGTGTTGTGAAGTGTTGCGTGTACTGTGTTGTGAAGTGTTGCGTGTACTGTGTTGAAAAGTGTTGCGTGTACTGTGTTGTGAAGTGTTGCGTGTACTGTGTTGAAAAGTGTTGCGTGTACTGTGTTGTGAAGTGTTGTTTTGCGTGTACTGTATTGAAAAGTGTTGCGTGTACTGTGTTGTGAAGTGTTGCGTGTACTGTGTTGTGAAGTGTTGCGTGTACTGTGTTGAAAAGTGTTGCGTGTACTTTGTTGTGAAGTGTTGCGTGTACTGTGTTGAAAAGTGTTGCGTGTACAGCGTTGTGAAGTGTTGTTTTGCGTGTACTGTGTTGAAAAGTGTTGCGTGTACTGTGTTGTGAAGTGTTGCGTGTACTGTGTTGTGAAGTGTTGCGTGTACTGTGTTGAAAAGTGTTGCGTGTACTGTGTTGTGAAGTGTTGCGTGTACTGTGTTGAAAAGTGTTGCGTGTACTGCGTTGTGAAGTGTTGCGTGTACTGCGTTGTGAAGTGTTGCGTGTACTGTGTTGAAAAGTGTTGCGTGTACTGCGTTGTGAAGTGTTGCGTGTAATGTATTGTGAAGTGTTGCGTGTACTGCGTTGTGAAGTGTTGCGTGTACTGTGTTGTGAAGTGTTGCGTGTACTGTGTTGAAAAGTGTTGCGTGTACTGCGTTGTGAAGTGTTGCGTGTACTGTGTTGTGAAGTGTCGCGTGTACTGTGTTGAAAAGTGTTGCGTGTACTGTGTTGTGAAGTGTTGCGTGTACTGTGTTGAAAAGTGTTGCGTGTACTGCGTTGTGAAGTGTTGCGTGTACTGTATTGTGAAGTGTTGCGTGTACTGTGTTGAAAAGTGTTGCGTGTACTGTGTTGTGTTGCGTGTAGTGTTGTGAGGCGTTATGCGTGTACTGTGTTGGAAAGTGTTGCTTTGCGTGTACTGTGGTGCGTGTACTGTGTTGTGTTGCGTGTAGTGTGTTGTGTTGTATGTACTGTGTTGTGTTGCGTGTAGTGTGTTGTGTTGTATGTACTGTGTTGTTATGCGTGTACTGTATTGTGTTGCGTGTACTGTGTTGTGTAGCGTGTACTGTGTTGTTATGCGTGTAGTGTGTCGTGTTGTGTGTACTGTGTTGTGTAGCGTGTACTGTGTTGTGTTGCGTGAACTGTGTTGTGTTGCGTGTAGTGTGTACTGTGTTGTTATGCGTGTACTGTGTTGTGTTGCGTGTAGTGTGTACTGTGTTGTTATGCGTGTACTGTGTTGTGTTGCGTGAACTGTGTTGTGTTGCGTGTAGTGTGTACTGTGTTGTTATGCGTGTACTGTGTTGTTATGCGTGTAGTGTGTCGTGTTGTGTGTACTGTGTTGTGTAGTGTGTACTGTGTTGTTATGCGTGTAGTGTGTTGTGTTGAGTGTAGTGTTGTGTTGCGTGTACTGTGTTGTTATGCGTGTAGTGTGTCGTGTTGCGTGTACTGTGTTGTGTAGCGTGTACTGTGTTGTGTAGCGTGTAGTGTGTTGTGTTGCGTGTACTGTGTTGTGTAGCGTGTAGTGTTGTTATGCGTGTAGTGTGTTGTGTTGAGTGTAGTGTTGTGTAGCGTGTACTGTGTTGTTATGCGTGTAGTGTGTTGTGTTGAGTGTAGTGTTGTGTTGTGTGTACTGTGTTGTGTTGCGTGTACTGTGTTGTGTAGCGTGTACTGTGTTGTTATGCGTGTAGTGTGTTGTGTTGCGTGTACTGTGTTGTGTAGCGTGTACTGTGTTGTTATGCGTGTAGTGTGTTGTGTTGCGTGTACTGTGTTGTGTAGCGTGTACTGTGGTGCGTGTAGTGTGTTGTGTTGAGTGTAGTGTTGTGTTGTGTGTACTGTGTTGTGTTGCGTGTACTGTGTTGTGTTGTGTTGCGTGTACTGTGTTGTGTTGAGTGTAGTGTTGTGTTGTGTGTACTGTGTTGTGTTGCGTGTACTGTGTTTTGTTGCGTGTACTGTGTTGTGTTGCGTGTACTGTGTTTTGTTGCGTGTACTGTGTTGTGTTGCGTGTACTGTGTTGTGTTGCGTGTACAGTGTTGTCACCACGTCTCCTAGTTTACTATCAGCAGAGCAACATGGCCGCGTTGTTATCTCGACCGGCCTCTACCCCACACCAAGGGAATACATGACATCTCGTGACAGAGTTGCGCCGCCCTCGTCAGGTGCCAGATACACCACGCACTGGCTGCATACACATGAACACGTGTGTTGTTTGTTTGTTGTTTAACGCCGCACTCAGCAATATTCCAGCTATATAACGGCGGTATTTAAATAATCGAGCCCGGATCAAAATTTCCAGTGAATGATATCATGAGCATCGATCTACGAGATTGGGATACGATGACATGCATCAACCAAGTCAGCGTGCCTGATCAGCCGATCCCGTAAGCAAGCATGGGTTGCTGAAGACCTACTCTAACCCTGATCTTCACGGGGAACATGTAATTAGTGTACGAGCTCGATACAGTTCCTCTGATAACATCTGTCACCATTTTGAGTTTGTTTTAACGAATCCATTTACCATTGACGTCATCTGCACGCCCCTAAACAGATAATGTCCTGTCTTCTTATCGACTTGTTGTTGAGTGTTTCTGATATTCCCTAGCCATGCCGTTGGCAAGCCTGGAGGTTACAGCCTTTCCTCGCGATGCTTGTTCTTGGTTTTATTACACACAGGGGTACAATATGTGAACCCGATTTTGGTGTCCTTTGGTAATATTTGAAAACACCCACGCTTAAACACACATACAGTACAAAACAAAACGCAGGACGCAATAAAATGTACCCCTCGCGATCCTGCTACAACGATTTTAACTTACAGATATATTTTAACCTGCTGTTGTGAAAGAATTAAAACAAATTCAAAATTGATAGAAAAAACTGAGCCGAGGTTAGCTATGCAACGTGACTTTCATTGACTCGGAAAAAAACGGACTAACGACGCGGAACAAGGAATTATCTGTCCCGTGTGAGATAACGTTAAAAGTCCCTCCTCAAAGATAGGAACATAAAAAGTTGAATTCACACTGAACAGACACTGCATAATTCTTCGTAGGATGTTTTCTAAATGAAACATTTATCCCTGTGGAGATTACAGACGAGAAGGTTAATCGTGTAAACTGTAGAGAGGGATTCGCAGTGAGTGAGTGGAAATTAACAATGCTTTTTCAACTACAAAGCGACTAACACATGCCCGTAATCATATGTTTGTTTGTTTTTTGTTTAACGCCACACCCAGAAATATTTAAGTTGTTTGACGACGGTCTGTAAATAATCGAGTCTGGACTAGACAGTCCAGTGATTGACATCATGAGCATCGATCCGCGCAATTGGGATACGATGACGTGCAGCGAGCCTGACCACCCGATCCCGTTTGTCGCCTCTTACGACAAGCATAGTCGCCTTTAAGGCAAGCATGGGTTGATCGGACGAGGTAGACATAGCCAGTCTTACAGAGAAGGATAGAGACGGATACGAGTTGGTCGCGTACAAGTGGCGTTGTGATCTATATTGGCGAGTCCCTACTGGGCATTTCAATTGAGTAATGGAGACGGGAAATTGATACTCGTAGGGGAAGCGAGTGATAAAACTACTCCATTATACTTCCTGGGTTAATATGCTTTGTCCATGTAATAATACCACTGGAAATGTCAAAGTACAGACAATTCATTGAAAGTGGTGTATTTGTACGACTGCTCAGATCGCCACGTTACAAATAACACACATATAATACATGGTGGTTCGGTGGAATAAGAGCGCTTTTGTGAACTAATGATTATCTGTCCTGACGGGGAGGTTTTCCTGGAACGTTAAAAGGGCATCAGCATGCTAAGTGGTTGGTGTTGCATATTCAGAATATGGACAGACACGAGCCTTGAACTAGACACGCTACCATGCTTGTAGATCAGAGCGGAACCAAATGGCATGCTTCCCATGCATTGATTATAACTTTCGTCCTAGCTCCCCAGTAGTGATGATACTAGATGTTCGCAAAAGGTTGGGCGTCGCCTGCGCTACCGGTGGCACAAAAGCGACAAAAACCCTTTCCATATTCACAAGAAATCTCGATTGTATGACTCCCGGCTAAAGCATGAGTATGTGATATGAATAGCGATCATACCAGGTGTTCGCGAGAAGGTGAGCGTATCCTGCCATGTCACAAACACATGCCAAGGCAAGTCAAGTTTTACCTAAAAAACACGGGAACATATGGTACAAGTCAAAATAGGGAATAACACCTTAGATCATTATTGCCATTGATGTGTCAAATGTGGAAATGTCCTCCAGTGTCTACCATAAAAGCTCTTGAAAGCTTCACTGAGGCCTTGAATGTTGTAACCTTGATCAAACAACTTCTGAGCAAAGCTCGTATGACGCTATTTGAAATCTTGGAAAAAAGAGCATGCGCGATTGTACTTCAAAAGCTGTGAAACGTAAACACCAAACACATTATAGGATAGATATAATAGGATAGATATAATAGGATAGATAGGCTTGTGTAGATCTCAGTGCATGTCTTTATATTCATGTCAACAATCACAGTACAAACATGGATTGATCCCTCGTCAGGTGGGTCTGTGCTTATATGTTTTACAGTTCAAACATGCACACAGTGCATATACTAGTATAAGGCAATTTCACAAAACATGTACTTTCAAGACAATTATTATTTCAAATCAAACAGTTTCTTAGTGAATTTAGAAATACATCTTTCAAATATTTTTTTAAAATAAATATTTGAATATAAAATACAACTAATATTATTGTACCGATCGGAAATACCGGGAACTTAAATCACCACAGTATCGAGAAAGTTCATATGATATTCTGTAAATTCGTTCTTGGCGTTGGCTGCCAGTCACAACCAAAGGCAATCGTAGCAGCATGCGGGAGATACCATTATATGTAACTTAGCACAGTTGTATCACAGTCAATACGCTTGCTCAGTCAACCACATACACAATATTCTAAGCGACCATTTTTTACTCAACGACATGATATTTGTAGCGACAGAAATTGGACCACTGGTGTAAGGAAATGTCTTTTCTTCATATGGGTTTTCATACGCATGGATAGTCCTGGGACGTGGGAAACGCAGCTGCATTTCTAAATATGTTTAGAAATAAATGTAAAGGTGTATGTTGATAAGATTGGTCAAATGATGACACTTTCAAATCTCTATGTACACACTCGACAGACAGAATTCCAGTCATGTACTAAGGAACTTGACCATCCATACATGTACGTAGATGCCTAACTAAGTTAGTTAAATATGATTGATCAGGGGGGAATGAACAGGACAGGGACATTGCACCAGACAAAATTAGATTTCAGAACACGCACCTGCTATTGTGAGGTTGACGTGTGTTATTCAGGTGCAACACAAGCCTTTGCATAACCCATGCTATGATTTCATATATAGGTGGGTAGGTAGTATGGTTAGTGTGTGTGTGTGTGTGTGTGTGTGTGTGTGTGTGTGTGTGTGTGTGTGTGTGTGTGTGTGTGTGTGTTGTTTTTGTTGTTGTTGTTTTTGTTTGTTTGTTTTTTTGGGGGGGAGTGAATGCAATTTTGATTGGGTTGGTAGGTTGGTGTGTGTGTGTTGGGGGGGGGGGGGGGGGGGGGTTAAGTGTGTGGGCAGCTAGGTGACAGACTGCATTTGTCTGTATGTCAATGTATGGACGACAAAATTAAATGGCGATTTTTGGTTATGTATGTTTGCTGGTGTCAGATCATGGTAGATAATATATTGGTCTAGACACCTCGATATATACAGAAATGTCATTTTATATTTTGATGATTCATGGTACTTCGCAGCAACACGCTCAGGATCTATCAGGTGAAGTCCCCTGTGGGCGGTGCATCCAGCCTGGTGCTGTCAGTGCCTCCACCACACAAACCTATGTAGGTGAAGTCTCTGTATGCATTCTCTTTCAAAGACACCACCATACACACACACAGGCATGCACGTTTGTACGGGACTGCGCGTATTTAAGCCACCTCGTTATTAGCATAAGGGTTTTAAAAACAGAAAAAATAAAATGCCTTTAAGCCTATGGGTTCCAATAAAATTGAAAATTGATTGATCTCCTATACCAGATATTCTTCAACCTGTAGTGTAGCACGCTTCTCTGTGGCAATTGTTCATCAATATTGCACCTTAAGGGCAGGTTTCCACATTCACAAGGCACGCTGGACCCTTAATGATGTGATATTCTGGACATTCAGTGTCACATTTAAACGTATATTGCAAACACGCATTGGTGTGTTACTTATTTGACAGGTATCAATTCAATTTTGAAAGTTTTCTTGACTCATAATGTATAGCGAGGTTTCACCTGCTGAACTGTGCATACACACTAACAGTGAGCAGCACGAATGTAAACACGGCACATATCTGTGCAACAACGGCGTACAGCTGGCCCATGCCCACACGTGGCTGTAAGTGAGTTCATACAACAAGAAGTTGGACGGCCAGTGCTAGATCCGCCTTCAGTACACTTTGTGCCCTAGATTAGGCGTCTTCTGTGTTATCACGTGACACTCCGTCCAGAGATGCATTACTATCCCCACATCCTCATAGGAAGTGAGTGCATTTGGTTTAACGACGACTTGAACATCATTTCAGTTACATCATAGTTTATTTATAACTATGAGTCTGAATTTGTGTTTAAGGAAAACGCCTGCAACAATGTCATGTTTGTGGAAGGCAATTTCTTTTTCTTTTTCAACAGTCTAAAGCATTTTCGGAACAATTTATTTTTTTCGATAAAATCCCTGGCTATGAAAATCCAACGGTCGGTCTCTAAGACGTTTACCACTTTGGTGAAACCTACCAGCACGGGTATGGTGCTGACAAACCTCATTTGTCAATAGTATCATTATATACATATATCATTGGGAGACTTGACGTGCATGATAGAACACCGAAATTGTTTTGTCTATGACAATAATTGATTAAATTGAGCAAACAGTAATCACTGAGGTAGATTTACAGATCATGTACAAGTACACAGCATTGTACATACGTACATTGATTAGGGATATAGGTAGAGTTGAAGTGAGACTACGCTCCATAGTTTAGTGCGGAAATCCAGTAATTAGTAATTAGTGCTAAGTCTGGCACTCACGGATATCTGTGTAATTTAGTGCAACTGCTAGATAACACATAATAAATATACTGATATACACCACAAAATCTGAGTTCGACATAAGTGGGTTTAGTATGATCTGAATCAAACTTACTCGGACTGTCCACAGGCCCTGACGTGAACACCCTTTACAAATCTCTCACTTCCGATTTAGCAATATCGCCTCAGAATTTTCAAATCGACCTCAAAAGATATCTGTGCGCGTTTAAATAAGTGTTTACGTGCCCGCGAAGGAGCATGCGAACTAAAATTAGTCAAACATGACTCATAATTATCGTATAGCAGCATATATCGTATACCGTATAGCAGCAAAGACAAACGCATTTGCAAATTTAATGACGTTATTTTCCGAGTGGCGTTCTGTATCACAAACCGTCGTTACAACGTATTGTTTTATCGATCCGACGATATGCAGTTACCCGTGAAGATCCGGGTTAGAACAGGTCTTCAACAACCAATGCTTGCTACAAATGGTGACTATGATTTTTGTAAGAGGCGACGAAAACGGGTGGTCAGACTCACTGACTTGGTTGATGCATGTAATCGAATCCCAATTACGTGGATCGATGCTCATATTGACAATCACAGGATGGTCTGGTCCAGACTCGATTATTTACAGACTGCCGTCAGATAGCTAGAACATTGCTGATTGCTGCGTTCAACAACAAACAAATGATATGCAGTTAATAATAAAACGTCAGGAAGCAATAAGCCATCAATAGATATAAATAACATCCCAATGAACATTTTTCAGTTTTCTTTCACGAGCTATCATATTCCCAGATTATATCCGTCAATATTTCATTCTAAAACTGACTTTAAGGGAAATAAATCATTTATCGGGTTTATTCCCGAAACTGCAAAACATATGACGTGACAAAACTGCAGGTGATACTTTCAGCACGGGCTATTTTCATCGAACAATTCCTGTCAAAATATAATCATCATCATAATACTGTCAGAAGTTAATTGAAAAAGAAATGGGATAAGAATGTGAAAAACACTATTGAATGGAAATCTTCCGGGCTTTACTTCCATGAGAAAACCAGTGAAATTGATTGATAAATTCGGATTTTAAAATGTTTATGAACATTAGGTGTTATTGAATATTTAATACATAGAACGCCGGAAACCCTATGATCGCGATCCCAGTTCGCCCCGATTATGTTTCCAGTTTTGTCAGCACCATACCCGTGCTCGTGGGCTTCACCAAAGTTGTAAACATCTGAGACCTGCACCACTTCCGACTTTACTTCTACATTAAACTGACACGCCGTGATCTAACTGGAATATTGTTACAAGTGGCTTAACTTCAGTAACCCATGCTTGCCGAAAAGGCGAACTATGCTTGTCGAAAGAGGCGACTAACGGAATCGGGTGGTCAGGCCCGCTGAGTTAGTTGATGCATGTCACCGTACCCCAACTGCGTGGATTGATGCTCCTGGTGTCAATCTGGACTGTCTGGTCCAGACTCGATTATTTACAAACTGCCGTCATATAGCTGGAAATGTGTTGTGTGTGGCGTTAAACAAACAAACAAACAAACAAATAAAAGCGGCGTTAAACTCACTCACTTATTATTTGACTAATTCTCAAGTTGCAAGTGTCATAGGTGTAGTCCAGAGGTTAATGCGCTCGCTTGTCACGTCGAAGTCAAGAGTTCGATTCCCTGGGTATAAAGTTTGAAATAATTCTTGGCGTGCCATCAGTGACACCTGTCACACAATTTTTTGCTAAAGGAGGCGTAAAACACGACTATTCACACATAATCGATCTCTACATCACTACATGTTAGAAAACTTCAATCATGCAACCTAATTAGTTGGGCAATGTATGATAAACTGCATGAATATCTAACAGTAGATAGCAGTTTACTGTTACACATGACCAACGGACTCAGCGCTCCTTTGTGAGTCGTTATTCAGCCAACTTCCGGGTTATGCCACTTTCGACACGCACACGTTTTCCTCCATAACGACACGCACGAGGACAGAATGTCTGCCTAACAATACACAAACTTGTGTAAACTATATCTTCCTCATAAGAAATCAGCCAAGCAGAACGCAATGTCGTCTGCTACCCTGATAAAGCCTTCGATTGGCGTTTCAAAATTGATACGTAGATATATAGTATCTATTGGCTTTCAAACACGACTGTCAGAGCTATGGTGATGAATAATGGCTTCATACGCAGACATTTATAGAATATTTATCAATCAGATTATAGATTGACGTATGCCACCACTCGGTTGTCACGCCTCGGGGGAAATATCTTAATCAGAAGCGAGCTTCAGTCAGCGAAGCTGTACAGTGTCGTGTCATGATGGGTTTTGAGGACGGTGCTCGCGTCTTGTCTGCTCACAAGGATGGCCTTACAGACATCCATACATTTACATTAAACACAACATGTGCCATGTAAGGGTAGTACTTACCTGGGCAGGCTATCTAAGCAGTTGTCTATAAACGGGGACACCTGTGTTTCATGTTGCCGCTCAGCTAATCATTCACCTGTCCGCTCCCCACGCTTGCTCTTGTTGACATGACACACTCGGTAGGTCACGTGATTGCCGGAGTTGGCCGAGTGCAACCGGTTGGCCAACTCGTCGGGCAGATGTATATATCACTGTTAGACGATGTACTGTCCGTTTAGGCTGACCGCTTCGCTGATCGTTAACTATTTTATGATACACATGCCAAATCGTAGTAATTCCAGTTTTGAAAAAAACCCTCGATAGCTCGATCCCGTTAATCTTGAAACTTGGAATAGCGGGGGATTGTATGCAGCCACCTTGGCGCTCACGCAGGGGTAGCCATTGAACGATGACGAAGGGGTATACCAGGAAATGGCGGTTAACACGTTCGCTCTTCTCGGCGTGTACATTGAATCGTTTGTCTCGTCCCCGACCGTGTTGGAGATGAACAAAAATAACAACAATTGCTAATATTCCATATTCCGGAAACTTTTTAATCTGGAATATCACCGTCCGGATTTATGTAATTTCGCTGTATTTTGTCTACTTGTAAAGGGCAATGCATTAGACATACAATATCGAAACAATGACATAAGTCCATATTTTATAGACGTTTTACTTTTACGTCATGTGTTGACGGTTGTAGCGCATTAATTTATACGAAATTAAAAACGATCTTATTTGATTTGTTCTTATTATGTTACCTTATGACCTATATATTAATATCATTTTCAGACAATGTATATGCCTTACTGAAAGTAAATTGTATTTTGGGATTTCCCCTGATTTCATGAACAATTTCGGTTTCCGCGTTACAACAATAATGCCTCGGCTTGGGCTGGGACTAAAACAACAGTGTATGATCAACACATCAACTGGGGCGATGGGGGAAAGACCATAAAAAAATACTCGCACTTAAAACTGTCACGAAGTTGCGTGATATATGGCCTCCCGTGTTTCCCCCTTGAGTGACATGCGCTCTACCTCTCACTCATACATGTAGAACATACTTTATCATGGTCACCGTAGTTCATATATGTTCTAGTTGTTTCTTTTACTGCTGCTACAACAACAACAACAACAACAACTACTACTACTACTACTCCTTAGCTGCTGCTGTCGCCGCTGCTGCTGCTTCTGCTACAACTTCAACTACTACTACTGCTGCTGCTGCTGCTGCAACAACAACAACAACTGCTACTACTACTACTACTGCTTCTGCTACAACTACAACTGTAACTACTACTACTACTACTACTACTACTACTACTACTACTACAACTATCACTGCTTCTGCTACAACTACCACTGCTACTACTACTACTACTACTACTACAACTATCACTGCTTCTGCTACAACTACCACTGTAACTACTACTACTACTACTACAACTATCACTGCTTCTGCTACTACTACTACTGCTACTACTACTACTACTGCTGCTGCTACAACTACTACTTCTGCTACTACTACTACTACTACTACTACTACTGCTACAACTGCTAATACTACTTCTGCTACTACTACTACTTTTGCTGCTACTACCACTGCTGCTATTACCACTACTACTACTGTTTCTCCTACAACTACCACTGCTACTACTACTACCACTACTACTGCTGCTACTACTACTACTACCACTACTACTGCTGCTACTGCTACTACTGCTACTACTACTACTGCTACTGCTACTACTATTACTGCTACTACAACTACTGCTACTACTATTACTACTATTACTGCTACTACTACTGCTACTACTACTTCTACTACAACTACCACTGTTTCTGCTACAATTAACACTGCTACTTCTACTACTGCTGCTACTACTACTACTACTTTTGCTGCTACTACCACTACTGCTATCATTGCTACTACTACTACTACTACTTCGACCACTGCTGCTGCTACTACTACTACTACTACTACTGCTTCTGCTACAACTACCACTGCTACTACTCGTACTACTGCTGCTACAACTGCTACTACTACTTTTGCTGCTACTACCACTACTGTTATCATCGCTACTACTACTACTGCTGCTGCTACTACTATATACTGACCGCCTCCGTGGTCTAGTGGTAGAGCGACCGCCCGGAGAACGGAAGGTCCGGGGTTCGATCCCCGGCCGCGTCATACCAAAAGACGTTAAAAGATGTTATCCTGTCTGGCGCTCGGCATTAAGGGGCTAAAACAAGGACTGGTCGGCTCGGAGTCAGTATACTGTGTCTGAGTGGGATATTCATGTTAAACTGCGGCATGGTATCTCAGTGAGCTAGCACTATAAATCGGCATCAGTCCGGACTAGTACAAGCAGTCACACAAACACACACACACACGATCTTGGACGCGACGTTAAACCCCATTTAACCTCACCTCACTTCTATTACTAGTACTAATACTACTACTACCATTACTACTACAGCTTTTTAACTTCTTTCTCAAACTCATTAAAATCAAACTGTTTCCTGCTAAACGGCACCTGGCAAGTCTGCATTACGATCTGAGGACCCCGCCATAGACCTACCATCAGCCAATCAGCTCCCAGACTTCTATATTCTCGGCACGAGTGAGTGAAGCATTCAGGCCAACATATCTAATTTCTATATCTCTAAAACGAACCAAAAATAATACCTTCCGAATGTAAATAACCATTCTGTTTTTGTGGATACATCATTTGTGAGATCAATCGAAAGTTTACTTTTTCAAAATCGAAATTCCGAATCGACATGAACCTACACATCCTTTTTTTAGATTGGGCGGTCAAAGGGTTCATTTGACGCGACATCTAATGTGTGTATAGCAGATTGGAGCACATACCACCTTAGACTGTCATACAGACCCTGAAACAAATATATCCAATAGAGTCCAAGCATGTCAATAATATCTAGCAAGTCTAGATTACTGTAGTTTAAATGAAGAAAGTCCTTTGGCTCCTTTTCATTCTATTTCATTATTGTAATTTGACAAGTGTTTTTTTTGTGTGTAAATTATGTTCATTTCAGAGACTAGATGTTAGTTTAATACCACCTTTTATTTTACAGTTAATCAGCGTTGCCGACGATTGTATACACGACTTGACAAATCAGACATTTGACGTCAGGGAATTGTGCGCTTGGATGTATACTGTAAACCATCTGTATCTGGCTTGAGCTCTGTTACATAAACTATGACTTGACTTTACTTGATTTGGTCAATGCTTCAACGACGCGCGTGAGTTGACGGATGAACTACTACTACTACTACTGCATGCCGCCTCTGTGGTCTTGTGGGAGAGCGGAAGGTCCGGGGTTCGATCCCCGGCCGCATCATACCAAAAGACGTTAAAAGATGGTACTTGTTGTTACCCTGTCTGGCGCTCGACATTAAGGGGCTAAAACAAGGACTGGTTGGCTCGGAGTCAGTATACTGTGTCTGAGTGGGGTATTCATGTTAAACTGCGGCATGGTATCTCAGTGAGCTAGCACTATAAATCGGCATCAGTCCGGACTAGTCACAAGCAGCCACACACACACACGTGCATGCACGTCGCTATATAAGTGCAATAATCTTGGACGCGACGTTAAACCCAATTTCACCTCACCTCACTACTACTGCATACGGTGGATACACGGGTCCTTCCTCAACATCCCAGCTCAGCTTGCTCCTCCGGGATGTTAGGTCTACAGTGTAACGCAAGGAATTGAAACCGAAACTGTATCTTGATAATACAATATTATGTAGTTAGCCAGGATATGAAAACGTTTTGACTTTCAAAGTATTCTTCGAAAACTGTTTTCGTCTCCTCAAAATTCAAACTGAAACTGTGGATCTGTAAGAGTGAATAGGATTAGCCATTCACATTAAAGATTAAAATGAAAAATGCAGCAAAGAGGGTTTGGGTGATCCTGGCACAGTCCGGCTGGTTAGGCTCATCATCAGCTCAGGGCCCTTGCCCCCTCTACACGCAGCCCAGACAGCGAATGGGACTCCTAGTCAAACCCACCCAGAACGTTTCGGAGAATGTGAAGACTCCCCAACACAGCAGCCTTCTGCAATACCCAGATTGCCAGAAGGGCTGTATTCCTGGCAGCAAACCCGGGTACTCTCCCGATGTCAGTCAACAGATTGGGAGGTACCAAACCTAAGGCACCGAGAACAATGTGGAGTCGGACAACTTGGTACTTGGGATGCAAGCTTGACATTTCTAAAGCGAGGTCTGCATATTTGCCATGTTTTTCCTCAATCTTGCCAATCACATTACTGTCAAAAGGAACAGAAAATTTAATGATATAAATGATTTTATTGGATTTATCAAAAAGGCCAAGATCAGGTTTGTTGGCCTGGATATGTCTGATGTAAACGGACCTATTCCATAGGATTTTGTATTTATCATTTTCCATGAGGCCCTCTACATATTCCGGGTCGTACCATGGATGGACCTCTGTGTCAAAACCATAAGCATGGCGAAGACGGTAATAAAATGATCTAGCTACACTATCATGTCGTTTAAGATACTGTGTTTGTGCCAAAGCTGGGCATCCACTGACAATGTGTTGGACAGTCTCATTAAATTCATTACATAATCTACATTTCATATTTACATTTTGATGCAAAATCACACATTAACGGTTTCGAGTTGGAAGTGACTGGTCCTTAGCAGCAAACAGAAAGCCTTCTGTTTCACTTTTCAGGCCAGCCGACTTCATCCAAGCAAAGGACTCTGCAGGATTGCTGATCTTCTCAACACACTGCACATAAACTCGATGCAGTGGTTGTTCAGATAGCCTCTCCTTTAAAAACTGAGTCTGGGCCGACTTGATATGGCACTTCGATTAGTTGACAGTCACGTCAGTACCGTCCAGCAGTACAGAACCATCAACAAAATCAACACCGACATTGAGATTATGTCCCACATTCGATTGGTTGACACTCATTATTATTATTATTATTATTATTATTATTATAATTATTATTATTATTAACGCGCCACACTATTGCACACCTGTCTGTGATGTATTACTTGAAGAGGGCTATAATATCGCATACCACTTCTTAGGAGCTGCAATGCGCTGTGATGAGTTGCCAGGATCTAATGATCCGGGGTTCGAATCCCACATTCGCCCTGATTATGATCCTTTGTCTGTCAGCACCACACCCATGCTCGTGGGGTAAAGGGGTAAAACACGTGGTGACATAACTGATACACCCGTCAAATCAGCGTTCAACCCAAATCACCAACGACCCAGCTGAATAAACAACAACAACAATACATCGCAGGGTATGAAGTTTTATACCTAGAACGTGACTAAATACAAAACAAATAGTTACACAGCTAGGTCAACACTTGATTCAGATAGACAGGTTTGTACACGAGGGAGCTGCCTTAAAGGGGGACTTCGCTCCAGGATTTTTCCCATGCCCAGTTTAAGTCTAGGCAATGTAAGACTACTATACTCGAGTGCAGCTGAGGCACTTTATGGGTCAATAACTGCGAGAATCACGTATCATATAATTTAGATAAACAATCAGCCAAATTGGGTTTTGATTGACATCAAACCTTTTGACGTGAAGTTCACTCGAGTCTCGTCCCCCTTTAAATGGAGCAGTGCGTTGCTGGACACACAGATTATCCCTAGTGATGTATATGGGGTTATTAAATACTATAGATAGCGGACAATGCAGAATCAAACACAGAAACTTATAAAACAAATATTCCTTAAAAGTAAATCAGGATTTTACTATCACACCGCTGAACATTGAGGTATAGTCAAACCTCGTTATCCCGGACATTTATTTTCTGTTGCGATCGTTAAATATGCTCAAGATACAATTCGTTAATGTGGATAATTTAAATAAAACCGTATCGTCCGGATTAACGGGGTTCCATTGTCTACAACCATTTATAAATTACAAATTGGCAAGGGCATGCATAGTAGATAACTTATCTTTTGACAGTGGTGTCATAGACTATATTTATCGACTGTTCATAAAATACATTACACAGAATTGCTCGGTTATATCATTGTGGTTTGTTTTCAGGCTTTCAAGTTAAACTTTAATCTGTATGTGTGTAGTGCGGTATTTCATACGATAATAGCAACATATGATATAATTTTTGAAAATATAATCTAGAACGTCGACAATAGGTTATTCTGTCAACAACACGCATAGCAACACGGCGGTAAATATTTTATGGGCGCTTCAAATATGATCCAAATTTAACCACCTTTGCAATTTTTTATACTTCGTGTATCCGAATCCACATTTCACACATACACTTTTATATTTCAGGTTTAAAAGTGTCATGTTGACAGTTGAGAATATTGATAATTTAAAAAAAATTCTCTTTCAATAATTGCACTTTACGAAATCAATCGTGATGTTTTTTTTCTGATCTATTCTTTAGAATATTGAAAGTTGGAATACAATTTCATGTACAACAAACAAAGGTAATTATCAGACATGATGAATGAGGGATGCTGACACAAGTATAGAAACAACAACCATATATAAAGCGACATATCCAACGTATGGCCGCATCCTTCAGCGGTATAGTGGGAGCATATCACAAAGAATAGCAATGTCCATCCTGTCTGTAGACGGTATGTGGGCTGAATTACGAGGTGATTGACGGCTAACTACCGGGTTCTAAAACTACGACGTTACATTAATTAATATGTATGGAAACTATTTTACAAGTTTTTTGTTTTGTGGAGGAGACAACGACGGTTGGCTGTTGCACTGAACAACTTGGTGTTGACGTCAACGACGTTCCGTGTCAGCGTGGACGACGTCGACGTCATCGACGACGTCCACAAATGTCATCACTTTCTTTGGGGTTCACAAATATGTCATTTATCCTTTCATCCGTAAAGGCTTAGTGTATATATATATGTCACCGTTATGGGCACAGAAATGTACAACCACGTGCCGCGTTGATTGACAGGTGTTCATGTACTCCTTTCATTCCGCCTGCAGATGATGACGGGGACGGGAGAGTGGTGGGCCACGTAGTCACTGACGCTGCCGAGGAATGTTCGCTTGAGTTTACTCAATCCCCGGGTCCCCGTGACGATCATGCTCGCCCCCTCCTCCGCAGCCGCTTGGATGATGGCTTCGCCCGGCTTGCCGTTCCCCTTCCGGATTTTACCGTGCATCTGAAACAAACACACCGTTTGACGTTTTGCTTGATATTGGTACACGGTATGGGATCGAATAGGTCTACCCCTATTCGTTCTTCTCCCTCCACCCTAACCCCGCTCATACCCCTATACCCCACCACGTGGCTGGCCCAACGGGTCGTAGTGTGTGCAGGCTAAGTAGACTTCACCAGATTCTGATATTCGCTCTACCGTTACATGGTCCATTTTCTGATGTCTGTCAATAATTTGCGCATGAAACTCTAGCTCCTTAACATAGTTAGGAAATGTACAGATTTATTGAAGAATTGTACATTTATATTATGAACCACGTGTTACAGACCCCCGCATTGGCCATCAGTGTTCCAAACTTCTCCTCTATACAGCGCAGTGCCTCAGTGTATTCCTTGAACATCTTGGCGGTTCGGCCTGGACCTAAAAAGTATAATAACCATTTAAATCACAGACCCCGTATGGCACAAACGCTGTTAAAAAACGTTTTACCACAATGCTTTCAGTTGTATCTGACACTGACCAAGTAACGAACAAAACAGAGTGACAGAAAAGGCTACGTTAATCATTTTAAGTGAAAAACACGAGTTTGTATTGTTTGTCTTATTGATTGACGTGTGCACTTATGATTCTCGTAGAAAGGATGTTTTTTCAGATGCTGAGTCTCCATCAATAACTTTTACATTAACACTCCGATGTATTTTCTTCGCAGTTAATGCAAAACTAACATTGCATGTATTTATTCAGTGTTGGAAAAGATGGGATATCATGAACGCTAATCACTTCGTGGCTTTAAGATCCCGAATAAATATCTCAGATAAGGAGCACACATCTCTGGTGTTGTTTGTCGTTTTCAATCTATTCTTGTTAATAGCATGGCGAGCAATAGGCACCGGGAGAGATTGGTCGGGGCTGTGAGAGGAAAGCAAATGGCGAAATGAACAACCTTGGATAAATCTCATGCATTTTAAGTCAATAGGAACATCAGAAATAATTTCGAGCAGAGATAAACAAGGAGTACTTCATCACTTTGTTGTGGCAACAAATCGGTTTCTGTTGACACCATAACGAGGCTCTGTCTACTTACACTGCCACTCGGCAGACCGAAGCGGATCAGGTTTGACGGTTATAATTAAAACATGAAACATTAATCACGGGCCTTATAGTTTTGAAGAACAGTTTTAACACACACGTTGTTATATGGACGGGTATGAGTTGGGATTCGTATTATTACAACTGAAAACATGGCTCCTTTGACTGTGGCCGTGGTCTATCTAACTGAATTGCTATTTAAACACCACTTGGCAGTGAAGTTATTTTTTTCCCTACAATTATCTTGATGATGCAACAATTTCATGAAAAATGTTTGTCGCCAGCGGGATTCGAACCCGCGAAATCCGCACGTAAGAACAACGAATGTAATCTTCTGCCACGGCGATATGTTGGAAATTGTAAGAAATTAACAACTAAATATTTTAGTGTCATCAGGACTATTGCTTATCCGTTTAAGAACTGTGAAATATGTTTTATAATAATTTTATACAGTATGTTACTCTATGCATATCTATACAGTCAGTACTTGTGATTTGGTAGCTTTTCCTTCAACGAAACGAACAGCTGGAAAAGAAATTACTATTATCTTGATCAGGGCTATGTTTGCTCATAATAGGACCATCAACATGGGCAGGTAATATTAGGTGATTGATAAATGTGCTCGAGTTGGTCCAAAATGAATGGTATACTTGCCTCAGGACATGCATTTCATAACCGAACTCGGCAAAGCGCGAGGTGCACGTGCAAAAGGAACATATTTCACGTGCTTCACGCGGGGCCGACTCACACCGTGTTCTCGCAGTTGAGCATAGAGTTACTGACTATCTTTCAAAATACGCTTAACAAGACAATTAATATTAAGCTTTTAGATGCCTTAAATGGTGGACATGGTTTAAGTATGGTAGACTACTGTATGATCGTTGAAATGGTTAATTAAACAACCCTGCGCTGCGTGCCTCGTGGTTTAATTAACCGTTTCAACAATTAGACACTGGGTCCTCGTGGTCTAACCTATACATATGTGATTTATGGGTATGTTTTCTCAGCTAATATATTCTATTTCCCTTTCTCTTCTTGTGGTAAATAACAATAAATGACCATAAATTCCCTATACAGGTACACGATCAATAAGGCAGATAGGGCACTTGTTAATCAACAACCAAACGGTTGGCAATAATTCACGTATAAACGACCGGGCGTTATCCTCCAAGGAAATTAAACAACCTCTCATTTTCACACATGAATTACAATAGGCTAAAATAGGTACACGGCGAATAGAATACATAGACAGAAAACTAGCAGCATTTAGTGAACGTTTCTTGGTTTCTGCAGTATTTTTGGGGAACGGGTGGCCCAGTCGGCTAAGGCGCCGCAATTCGCTGTGCAGAGTTGCGTCCCTTGGGCACGCCAGAAACCTATGGTTTGTTGGTTCGAATCCCGGTCCGCCCCGAATATGTTTCTAGGTTTGTCAGCACCATACCCGTATTCGTGGGTTTCACCGAAGTGGTAAACGTCCGTGACCTGCATCACTTCGGACTTTCCTCCCACATTAAGCTGACACGCCGTGATATAACTGGAATACTGTTAAAAGCGGCGTTAAACCCAACTCACTCACTCACTGCAGTATTTTAACACACTGATGGCGAATGTGTACGGCCCCATTCTCTCACTGACTCGTAGGCTAACATCAAGTCTCTGAAGGGAACATGTCTTCAGAAAGAAACTACCGTTGTTAAATTATCTTAAAATAAGAACATAATAAAAAAAGAGCCAAGATACTCTCTTCAGTAATCTAGACTTGCCCACTATTATAGACTTGCATGGGCTGTTTTGTGTGACACCTTGGGACCATCGCCACCATGTGGTGTTATCCGTTGAACCAAGGGAAGTGTCGATATTAGACCAGTGTGTCAGTGCGGATGCTTCGAGTTAATAGAGTTCGACCAATCAAGGTGTGTCAATATTGAAGCATTGTGTCAGTAGGATTCTGTTGGACCAGGAAGATAGTAAATCTTAAACTTTTCACCGAGTAGTTACATGCATAAGATTTATGATTCTCGTAACACAGATGGCACGGGTGACCCAGCCGTCTAATGCGCCGTAATTTACCCTGCAGAGTTGCGTTCCTTAAGTGTGCAAGGGTCCCCTGAAGTAGATTCGCACTGATATAAAATCTTGGTTTGTCAGCACCGAACCCAGGCTGGTTGATTTCAGCACATTGGTAAATGGCTAACACATACATTAGCTCAGGGTGCCCCAACCCCTATCCCCAACGACAAGCTGTCATGCAGTGATATAATTGAAAAAAAACCTGTTAAAAGCGCAGTAAAATCCAACCCACTCACCCGTCATAGTAGAGAAACTGCCAAAACACACGCTATAACCGACCTTCGAATGAGCATTCGGGTTAAAGCATAACATTGTATTGAATCAATAAACTGCTAAGAGCTCCACTTGTGAAGCAGTTTGTAGATGCCACAAAATAAAACCCCTTGAGTATATGATACACAACAGCTGGGTTACTTATATACCGCCATGTTAATGGCTACTGATCTGTGACTGACACAGTCTGTTGTTTATTTCCAGGCTCATTAAACCAATGTGAAATGCTGTGGCGCGCTATTTGGTTAATATTTGGCAAGGTACATTTTAGCTGCGGCTGTTGTTGCTGTTGTGCATTTGGCACACTGCCTATACCGATAGTACTCCAGACCACGATGCTAACCTTATCTATGTTCCAATGGTAGTCTATGCAGCCGTCTACAGGCACCAAGGGAGTTATAAGGAGTAAACTTTAAAAAAATAACAGCATTGGAACATGAATATTTCCTTGAATAATCTCTCCGATCTAGGAATATGAGGTAATCTGTGAGTTAAAGTCAGGTCACAGCAAGAGTAAATTGATTTTTGCCGTTCATTGAAACCCGAAAGAGTTCGTATCAGCTCTTGTGATCGCTCTCAGGAGTAGCTCTCGTGTCTGCATCGCAGTTCTTCGCATTCATTATCAGACATCGGCTCTGAGGAAAAACATTTTCTAAGTTTCTATTACATGTAATTGGGTATCGTCAGCGATCATGAAATACCATTCAAGACAACTTCAAAGAATATTAAAAAAATGCTACATGACTTCATAAAAGCGATAACTGCCATATCGTTTTCACAGCAGCTTCATCTCGGCAACGCTCACTGTTTTCTTTGGTATGTATATTCTTCGTAGGGAGTCGGGGTAGATAGGCCCTTAACAACCTATGCTTGTCAGAGTCGATACAATGTGTATTGGGTGGTTACAATGTATGTATTGAGTGTCATGACACCCCGATGGCGCGGATCGATACTCATGCCATCAACCCGTGGTTTGTCTGGTCCAAGCTATTAGCGAGTAGCCATGATATAGGTGGAGACAGGTGTATACACTATTACCTCACTCACTATATCATATACAGGCTCGACCCCGGACCAAGACAAACAATATATGGTTGTTTGTGTGATAATAAAAAATAGAACCGACCAAACCATTTCCATAAAAAAATATGAAGCCCACTCGGTGTCCATTGTACGAGTCCAGTCACATGCAGGTGTTTGTGACTCACTGTCAAACAGTGTGACACCGGGTGGTCCGTGTGATATGGTCACGTTCACATACTATCAACTAGGCCCGTTTCTCAAAGCGATAGTAGCACTGCGACTGTCGTAAGTCTATGTTAAACAGCGCGAGAAAGTCGCCGCGCTACTGTCATAAGTCTATGTTAAACAGCGCGAGAAAGTCGCCGCGCTACTGTCGCTTTGTGAAGGGGGCCCTGGTCAGTTTGAGAGCTCCTGTCCGACACAAATGTACACCGTCCATTGTGATCATCCAGTACCCGTTTTCGTCAGCATCTTACAAGGATACGGTAAATGCGATATACACATACAGACACGCATAGGTATCCAAACAGAAAGACATGGGATCCAGTCAGCAAAAGCGCCGCATTTCTCTGAAACGAGGCGTTGGTTCGAATGCCATATTGGCTCTGATTGTGTTTCTAGGTTTGTCAGCACCAAACCCGTCCTCGTTTGTTTCACAAAGTGGAAAACTTCTAATATCTGCATCACTTTCTTATTAAAATACAGATTCTCGTACTTTGGGGGGTTGAGTCCAGTCTTGGATTCGAACCCACACTGCCAGAGTGAGGCACTTAAAGCACCCAAAGTCAGCGATGTAACCCACTCAGCCACCGAGGCTTCCATAAAAAGAGAAAGTCCGACAAGTGGTAGTCTAGATCACGTACAGGGACTTTACTGAGAAAGTGTTATCCAAAATATATCATTTGTCATAAAATGGTAATGTGATGAGGGAAAATGCAATTACTTTCAGACCAGTATGCGTCAAG